GGGACAAAATCTGGACTAGTAGAATGTAATCGAATGGAACTCATAGCGTAATAAGTGTATAAAGACAAATAGACAGAAACCTTGTCTGGACGATTTCAAGAGACTGTCATTTTTGACGCATTGCATCTGCTGATGTCACATGATTCTTGGACCCAATGATCACTTAGTTCATAGTGTGGGGAGAGGGGTTATTGTTTGATGATGTTAAACGAGGCTCGAAACTCAACCTTCAAGGCTTGAAATAATAATAATAAGTTTATTCAGCTCTAAAGCTATTGAATACAACTATCAAATAACATACCACCCTGAATCTATATGATAAAAATGTGAAGAATAAATATTTTAATGAATGTGTAACTTAAAAAACAATGTTATTGTTTACACTTCTTTATATTTTACCAAATTTTCACTTTTTTATTTCTACTGGCTACTTACAGAACTTCAGAGAATAATTAAGTTTGCACAAAACTTGTGTTATATCTTTTTAATTAGATATCACTTGAATACCTCGTATTATATGAATGGCTGTTACTTGAGAATTGTATTTTATCTATGAGATATTCAGGAAGCATATACTTATACTTAGGTTAAGTTGAAAAGCAGCCTAGGCTGATACTTCACCTTTTCATTGACCCTTAATTATTGTTCTAAATTTTTGTATTTATGGAACCGATTTTGTTTCCTACACAAATTAGTAAGAGAAACGAATTCATCGATTTCGTTATTATTGAAATTATTTTTCTCTAGTAATTTCCTGAGGTATTGCAAGGTCTGTGGAATTGGGACGCTAGGAAATAAGGAACTAACATCAAAAGAAACCAAAATCTCACCTTCTTCCAGAACCACGTTTTTTGTATGTTGTATGATTTCTAAAGAGTTTTTTATACTAAAACTTGATTCCGCAATAGACAAGGTTTCAAATTCCTTAGTGAGCCACTTTGCTATTTGGTAGGTAGGAGCTTCAATAGCTGACACGATGGGGCGCATTGATTTTCCCGGTTTGTGGATTTTTGGGAGCCAATATAGTTTCGACACCGTTGGTTTGGAAACTTGTAATTTCCTTTTCAGTTGAGGGGTAAGTATGTTGTCGCATTTCTTAAGGACGTCTTTCACTTCGGCAATCATTTTTGGTAACGGGTTCCTGGACAATTTCGCATACGGTCCGTTAGTAATGAGAGTATTGATCTTTTCGTAGTAGTCCGATTTATCCAGAATCACTACTTTGTTACCTTTGTCGGATTTCAAATAAAAACGTCCTTTTCTCTCAATCGTTTGATAAGTTTCTTTTGGTTTTTATTGTTGTTTATTGAATGCTTCCGTTTATCTGTTATCTTGTTCTTGGAGATTTGATTCTTGACCTTTTCTCGAACTAGTCCCTTCGAGGAATCGGGCATATTTTGAATCGAACTTTCAACACTAGCAACGATATCCTCAAGAACTTTCACGGAAGGCGGGATGCCAAATTTCAAACTGTTGTTCAAAAGTTTTAATTTTCCTCTTTGAAGATGATCACTTGGTGATCGAAACACATGTTGAGGTGTTAAAATAACGATTTGGTGTTGGGAAAAAACTCCAGTAATATTTATATTTATTTCTTCTTCCGGGCTCTGTAACAACGAATTTTCATAAATATACCTTCCACAAAACTTATACGATTATTATTGTTTCAATTTCACAAGAAATAATGAATTCTTAATTAAATTATTCACCGAAAGTGAGTGTAAAAAGTGAAAATTATTCAGGTATTTTACGTATCAAATTGAAATATACAGTATTGCGGCCATCGACATCTCTTCTAGTGTTAACTCTATCGTATTTGAGGATATGTATCATTTTGCTCAGAAGTATTTTTGAGGATGGAATACCTTTAGGCCTATCGTTAGTTTTGTTGGTTCTCCGGTCTATAGGCTTTCGAAATGGATTAGCGAAATATTGACACACGGTTTCGAAAAAGATGAATTTTATATGAAAGATTCTTTCGAATTTTCTAATTTTATAAGAAATAAAATTATACCTGAGAATTATATTTTAATTTATCTTGACTGGTATCTCTTTTTACTAACATTCCTATAGATCTATTGGTTAGTATAATTAGAAATAAATAGGAAACCATTTCAAACTTTGGGTTGGAAATGGGTAATTGTATGTCACCCATTTGTGCAGACTTGGTCACGGCAGGACTACAAAATATATGCATTAAGAAGTTGTCATTTTCATTGCCTTTTTTCAAAAGATATGTTGACGATATTGTTACTTCCATGCCAAAAAATGAACAAACTGAAAAATTAGACACTTTTCATAGTTTTCATCNGAAAAAATTGATCCTGTTACCCAACCAACCCCTTTTTCAGATTGTATATTAAGTTTTTTTTCAATATGGATTTAATTATAATCAATCACAGTCACACCCAATTTGAAAGCACGACATCATCTTGAAAACTTTTCTTGAATACATTCAATCTCTCGAATGTAGCAATTGTAATGAATGTGGGCATTTTGTAAGCTCTTGTTGTTATTTCATTGATGTGATTGTCGAAAGTGAGTTTTGTATCAAATTTTACACCCAGATCTCTGATTTCTCAAACACAGAAAAGATATAAGAAAACATTTTTTAACAACGTGGAATTCCGGGTTAACGGACTTCCAACGTTTCTCCTCTGGTCGCTGGTAATTCAAATGGTCATCGTGAAGGCATAGGGAATTCCACTGAGTTCAGTACGGTACTGAATCGTGACAGTACCACTTTATAAAGAACTGTAGCTGGAGATTCTCTGCCTATCGGACTGAACTCTGTTGTTGAGTCAGCTTTGAAACATTACCTTCTGGCTAACAGTTTTGCGGAGTTGTAGTAACGCCTCTTTTTGGAAAATCTCTTCGGTCTTTAATTTCGCTCAATTTATAAAAGGTTTGTATGGGCTTACTGAGTTTCTTCTTCAACGTTGCTCCATCGTTTTTTTATATAGTCGAATCGCAGCGCAGTTATCAATATGACAGATATATTTGCCAAATCTCAATGTGTTAAAGCGTTTGGGGAGGTGTGTATTTCAAATTTAACTTTGTAACTGTAACAGTTATTTTCTTAAAACTTCTCTAGTCAATTTTGACATTACTGATTGATTACAACTTTTATTTGTAACTAACGTTACTGCGGTTTCGTCCTATATGGACATTCTCAAACTTATACAATAAACTCAGTTTATTTATACAATACAAACTCACAATGCAAACTTATACAATAAACTCAGTTCATTGTATAAGTTTGAGAATGTCCTTATAGGACGAAACTGCAGTAACGTTAGTTACAAATAAAAGTTACATGAAAGTTACAAATAAACTCAGTTTATTGTATAAGTTTGAGAATGTCCATATAGGACAAAACTGCAGTAACGTTAGTTACAAATAAAAGTGGTAAAAAACAATATATTTTGTCCAATGTATTTTAACCTCGTTGTCATACCATGGTACACTATTTGACTTCAAAAAGTATGATCTTTCTGGTGCAATTGAGTCAACAACTGACTCACACTGACTTTTGAATTGTAATTGTGTTTCTCAGAGTTGAAAGTACTTTTTCATATTGTATTAGATTCAAAATGAGTCTAATATAAAAAAAATCGCGAGCAGGAAACCATTCTAACAAGTTTAAATATTCCCTATTGGGATGAAGTCTATTCGGAGAAATAAATAGAAATGCATTACAAAAAGAAAAATTCTAGACGGCTACAACATTTACTCTGTACTGAGATTTATGAAAAAAAATGGAAATTTTTCATGTTATCGATTTGAAAGAAACAATACTTAGAAATATCTGCCACTTCATTTAGAATTTCAAATGCCTTTCTTTACTTACTCCCACTCGTTGTTATCCGGTATATTATAAAACGGATGATATGCTAAAAATGTATTTAATTTATAATTGAAAGTTTAAAATTTCTAATGAGTCAGTATGTCACCAGACACTAGTATATAAAGTTTGTTGGTGAGAGGCATGAAAGTTAGGAGTGTTTTGCGGGTTCGGCGAATTTCTGCTATCGAAAAAAAATGGATCAAAGAATTTGCATCAGAATTTGTGTAAAAAATGGAATTAAGTGCTCAAATACACTTGAAATGTTGAAAATGGCATCTGGCATACGGTGATTGTACTTTGAGTCAGAAAAATGTTTACAAGTGGGACAAGATTTTCAAGAAGGTCGAGAAGATTTGAATGATTTTGCACGCCCTGGACGCTCCAGCACGTCAACAACGGTTGAAAATGTTGGGAGAGTGGAGAAAATTATTATGAAGAATCATCGAATTACTATTAAAGAAGTTGCTGGGGATGTCGCATATTGATTGGCTTATGCCATGCAATTTTCTTGAGAATGTTGGGCAAAGGGTCATAACTGGTGACGAATCATGGGTATATGTTTATGACATTGAAACTAAAGTTCAATAGTCCCAATGGAAGAGTCCAGGAGAGCCAAGACCGAAAAGTTTAATCAAATGTCAAGGTTTTGCTCACTGTTTGCTTCGATTACCATGGCATAATGCATCAGGAGTTCTTGTCACGGTCAATAAGAAGTATTATCTTGAAGATATGCACTGCTTGCGAGACGTAATATGAGGAAAACGTCCGGTATTGTGGAAAAACAATTGATGGCTTTTGCATCACGATAATGCACCTGCTCATTGGTCATTGCTTGTTCGAAATTTTTTGGTAAAGAACAACACCGTAATCATGCTTCAGCCACCGTATTCACCAGATTTTGTCCCCTGCGACTTTTTCCTGTTCTTGAAGAGACCAATGAATGGACTGTGTTTTATGACAATTGAGAAGATAAAAACCTAATCCATGAGAGAGCTCAGAAAGTGCATATCAGAACTGTTTCTAGGATTGGAACAACGCTGGCATTATTATTTCTTGTATTTATTTCAATAACAATCTTTTAGAAATATTCAGTGATGAGCTATCTTTGTTCTGTTGGTATAATGATATATAATGTAATTATTTCCATTTTCAGATTTGATGGCCCCAGTTTCATAGGAGGAATAGTTCTCGCCTTAGGATTGGTAGCTATTGGATTTGTGGCCTTCAAATTCTACAAGGCACGCACTGAGTTGAATTATCATACTCTCTAACGCCATGATGCTTTTCTCATAAATATCTAAATTAATGCAGTGTGTATAATCAGTGCTGAAAATAAGTGTGACGCCTAACGCTTTTTCATTCACATCTGAAGTTTCAAACATACATTACACATCACAATTTTTTTGAAAAGTATATGGGTATAGGTTTTTTAAGATAAAATTGTTCAATGTGATCTTCGATATTTCATATTGTTTTTTTTTTTTATTTAAAATGTGTGGAACAGTTATTGTGCGTTGTTTTTAATGTGATGTGGTTGGTTTTTCTTGATGTTTTTCACTGCAAAATGATATTAGGGTTATTTGTGGTTTTGATAATTTGTTGATGCTCAAGTGTTTTGTAGAAGCTTATTTTTTGCGCTGATAAAACTATTACATTGTTTTCTATCTTTTGTTATATGTAAACACTTTTGTTCAGGCCCTATTTGTTTTTTGTGATATAATGTTTGTGCATTCTTCGAGAAGTTGTTATATTTGGTCTGTTGGACGAAAGTGGTAACTATGCAAGTCTGATTCTTGAAAGTATAAAAATCTGAATTTGCTGTTGTACATGGTTCAACCATTTCGTTCTTTATAACAAGTTCTCGATGCATTGCTAACTGAGAAGTAAACTATCATAGTTGATAGTGCTACCAAAGATTGTACTTTTGTTTCTTTTAAAATCACGATTCTTTCAAATAGCTTTTTGATAGTGATACTTTAAAAATATAGTCTTTTGGATATTGTATATATAATGATATCACATTCGAATATAAGGAATCTCACATGATGGCATGATATTGATATTGATATCGATTAATCAAGTACATGAATTACTCCAATATTTCAAATGATTTTTATTATTTTATTATAAATGTTGGTTGAAACAGATATCTTGGGATTTGTTAAACCGATAAAGGATTGATTACTCATCTTTTTTTCGCCATTTCTGGTTTTGAGAGAAATATTTCCAAGGTTTATTGCTAGTTAGAGAATATTTTAATAGACAGTTTAGTTGGTATAGTTGAAAATTATCATATATATGTTCAATCTATCTGGTAGTGTGATTTATTTGGCAGACTAATGAAAGGGTAGGTTTAGAAAGATATTTTTTTTCCTTGGATACATTGAAATGCATCTCAAAAAATATGATAAAAAAATTATGATTCCAAAAAATATACATATTGTAATAAGGCAGTTTTCTCACTATTTTACCGACTCTCCCATCTCTTATTGTTTATAGATCCCCATGCAGAGGCTTGAATTTGAATAGATCCCTATAAATTTGCTAGATCTGGATGTTTTTATCAGTTCTTTAATCATCAATTCAATTTGAATGAAATTAATCATTTCAAAGAACTGAGTTGTGTCAGATCTAACATGTAGAAAGAATGAAGAGGGATTTTGAGGTATAGTATAGTTTGCTAGCAAATTTGTGAATATGTCTATTGAGGGCGAATCTGTTTTAATTGGGTTCAGAATCAGTTTCAAAACCCCGGGAAAACATCCATATTAGGTATTTCATTTGATTGATATCTTTGAGAACCATGTTGTGTGAGAGTGAATCTAATATATAAAAATGGATGTTTGCTGGTTGGTTGGTTGGTTGGTTTGATTGATATCTTTGAGAACCATGTTGTGTGAGAGTGAATCTAATATATAAAAATGGATGTTTGTTGGTTGGTAAGTGATAAACTTCTACATCGCTCAACCAATCAACTTGACATGTATAAGTAATTTTTCATAGAGAAGGTTTTTTAGGCTATCAATTTTTCTGTAACTTGCCACTAGATGGCGCTGTAGAACACTTTTTTGAAAGCACTTCTATAACGCTGCGCACGCCTAAGTTCGTTGATTCTGATTCTGTCAAAACATTGGAACAGCAGCGATACAGCAACATAGTACTAGTATATCTATAAAATGTTCAGTGTTTCCAAAACATCATTTTTTGTAATTTACTAAAAGTAATGTATAAAACTATCCTGAAGATATTACTAGAGAGCCATTCTCTACAGAGTTCTGAAAAGAATGCAAATCAAAAATAAAATTAGAGAATCAAACATTCTTGCTTTTTGATATAACATGAAGATGTTATTGAAAATGTTGGTCAATTCGCGGAAATTGATTTAATAAGTTAGTATACTTAGGAAATAGTCTTGTGAAGAATTATTATGATTTGTTTTTGTTATTATATATGTTATAATTCACTAATGGACGTATATATGATGATATTTCGATTTATTTGGTTGGTATCTCATTCGTTGATAATAGAAATAATGCACTGTTTTATTCTGTCCGTTGAAAGTGCTCTTAGTAGACGGTAGAGGTAATAATGACAAGAAATTCATTTATAATGTGTGCTGCATAATCTAGTTGGTAACATTTTGTAAAATTAATCACACACTTTTAGAAATAGAATGTAATTATAACTGATATTTTTTCTAACTTCAGGAAATTAGTTGTCCAGAATATTTTATGCTGGTGATAATATTACAACACATGCAAAACAATATTTTTCATGTTATAAGTATACATTAGATGGTTCAAATAAATATACCATATAGCAGTTTTTATTTAATTCATTTCCTAGATATTATTTCTGTAAACTTATTTATTTTAAGCAAAAGTGGTTAAGTCAGCAACCAAATGTTATTAACAAACCATTCCAAGATGCTAGAGTTGCGAAACCTACGCAATTTTAGCAAATTCAATCGTCAATAAATCGCAATACACAATACAATATGTAATTAATGATTGACGTATACTTGATAGCTCGAAAGCGGAGCTTCTTAAAACATACGTAGGAATCTATTCTTGACATCTCGTCTAGAGAAAATAACTCCAAATTTCAACATCCTGAATATCAAATCACTGCTTTCAATTAATCACTTTATGCTTAGAATATGGCACCAGTAGTTTTTTCGGTATGAATGGTCGAGATAGGTTGTCACTAGCTGTTTTATGTTGGACTTTCACATCAAAAACGTATATTCTTTATTATTACTGGAAGTGATTTGATGATAAGATAATGAATAAATCGTCTGATATCTGTAAGGGTTCCGCTTTCCAGCTAACGACACGTCATAGGTCTCATCAGTGATGCTAGGATGAACCACAAATGCCTTGCTGGACTCGACTGCATGAGTAAGTGAGGTTGGTGACATCTCCTCTTGCGACGCCATCTATGGGATCGACAGAGAACTCGATCGTCGATAAAAAAATTAAATGAGGCTCCCTAAAGCGGTCAGTTGCAAAAAGCCAGGCTTTGACATCGCCCGCTAACGAGATTCGTTCTCCGTCTTTCACTGCAAGGCAACTAGATAAAAAACATTGTACACATACAACATACGTATGCAATAACATCAGACAGCGCTATTTCCACCCGCCTCATAGATAGATAGATAAATAGATCTTTATTGAAATAGGATATCCTGATTTGCAATTAAGCTAGAAAGTATAAAGTAAAAAAGGATGTGATACGTATAGAAATTACTTGAAATATATAAGTTCAATGAAATATTTCTAAAAACATTTCTACAAAAACATTGTTATATATTAAAAATAACATATAGATAGATAAATTATATAATTATTACAACACAAATATTTGTTTTGATTGCTTACATCTATAATTATACTCATACAGTTGGAGTTTCTATGACTATTACAGTAGGTAGGAGAGAAAGGTATTTGTTACATAATGGAATGATTTGAAATATACGACAAACAGATGAATACATTCTAAAGTTTATCAATAAGGAAGACATGATAATATCTCAATAAAGAAAATTTTAGCTCTAGGTAACAAACACATAATACCTACATATCATATTTGTACATTGAAAACAAATTTCTTCAGTTGTTTTTTGAACATGTATAGAAATGGGATAGGTGTCATAAGTGGTGTTAAGGT